GCACAATGGGAATTGGCGTTAGCCATGGAACAGGAGGAAACGACGGTGTAACGAGCAGTTGTCGTCTTCGAGCTCAAAGTCAGAACCAGGCATCGTCCTCGCAACACGGCAATCCACAGCAGTCGTCTGCTCAGCAGTCGTCTCAACAGTCGTCTCAGCAATCGTCTCAGCACCATCACCACCAACAACAACAACAATCGCCGTCGCAGCAATCGCAACAGCAGCAGCAGCAGCAGCAACAACAACAACAACAACAACAACAGCAACAACAACAACAACAACAAACGCCGTCGTCGCAGCAGGCGCAACAACGTCAGGGAAATAGGTTCATAGGCCGCTCGAAAAAGGACAACTGTTGCCTCTGCTGGTGCTGTTGCTGTAGTTGCTCGTGGTATTATCGTTTCTTTCTATTTCCTCGTTTCCTTTGGGCTCGATCGATACGTCAACTGCGCGCAAGCCGTGCCCGTCCACTTCCTTAGACGTCCGTTCGATAGAACGAAAATCAAATACAATGAAATAACGTCTATTATCCGTACGAACGTAATTTCGTTGTACCGTAAAGATCGAATCCGATCGCTCATCAACGACGAGCACAAGTACTTACGAACGAGCGGAGACACGGTATACATACTATACACCTATATGCATTTTGCATTTCTCATCGTATCGTCGCTTTGTCACTCTCCCGTATCGTTTGTTCATTGTGCTCTCGAAGATAACCATGACCTATTTAGTAGCGAACGACGCTTTATCCACGTTTCTCTTTCTCTGTTTCATGCCGCACGCAGGAACAAATGGTAAGCAAAAGTCGATCGGTGTCTCCTCGTTTACTTACGTATACCAACATGTCGTGTATGATGCACTCGACAATAGAGCGGGCCGCTATAACGCGATGGATCCGTAGGTTTAGAAAGATACAGAAGAGAGGAAGAGAGAAAGAGAGAGAGAGAGAGAGAGAGAGAGAGAGAGAGAGAGAGAGAGAAGGGTCGCGGTATCGATGAAAATCAATGATGCGACGTTAAACGGATATGACGTCAGGGTAGTCATCTGGGGTACGCTAAAGAATGTTTACCGTTTACGCGAGTCTCTATTCGTCCGTCGACAAAGCTAACGCGCTTCTTTAGGCTTCTTTTATTATCGTTATAAACATCTCAACGTACGAGACTCGCGAAATAATCGCCAAGATAAAATATTATCTTTTGTAATTTTCCTTCGGGAGGAGAATGTTAAGACAATTTTTCTTAACGATTCGATCTCTTATAACGACTAACAACGTGCCCGATGACAACAGTTTGGCGGCAGTCGGCGGAAGTACGGTTGGTGCTGACGGAGGAACTGGCGATCAGAGTAAGAAGAAGGGCAACGTTGGTATCGGCGGTGAACACGTGGGTGGCCTCGGTGGTGATCACGGTGGCTTTACCGCGGGCAACGGGCTGGACGGACTCGACGGTCTCGATGGTCTCGACGCTTCTACGGAGTGCTGTAATTTCGAGGAAGTCAGATCTTGGGGCTCGTCTTTCGACAAGCTCATGAGAAACGCGGCAGGTCGCAACCTTTTTCGAGAATTCCTTCGTAGCGAGTACAGCGAAGAGAACATAGCATTTTGGCTCGCTTGCGAGCAACTCAAACGCGAGAGCAATCCGGAGAAGATCGAGGAGAAGGCTCGATTAATTTACGAGGATTACATATCCATACTCTCGCCGAAAGAAGTGAGTTGATTTTAATATTCATTTAAATCCCCTTGTCTTTTTCTCTCTCTCTCCCTCTCTTTCTCTCTCTCTCTCTTTCTCTCTCTCTCTCTCTCTCTCTCTCTCTCTCTCTCTCTCTCTCTCTTTCTCTCTAAATGCTCCTTTGAATCCTTGAAACAGGTGAGTTTGGACTCGCGAGTACGCGAGATCGTTAATCGCAACATGGTGGAACCAACGCCGCATACCTTCGATGAAGCCCAATTGCAAATCTACACGCTGATGCACCGGGACTCGTATCCCCGATTCGTCAACAGCGAGATTTATCGACGAGTAGCGAAATTGAACAGCGGTCCACCGAGTCCTACGAGTGGTTCCGAACAAGACCACGTCGGTGGAAAGTCGAAAGGCAAGAAAGGAACGACGTAATCGCGATCACGGCCGATCAGCCGATTGGACGTCGTACTCTTACCCAAAAGCGGAGATACCAGCGAGATCGCAGTCTCCTCTTTGGCTTCTTCCAAAGAGCTAAACGAAGATGAAAGCAATTCGATCGGAAATAAAGAAGGAGGGAGGCGAGGGGAGGGGGAGAGGGAGTGAGAGATAAAGAGAGGCCGTGTCGAATCGTGTCTAAGAGAGCTTTTCGGAGCCATCCTTCTTCGGTAGCCATATGTTAAAGAAGAAAAAAAAAACAGAACACGATGCGAAGGACAATTGCGAAAACACGATCGCGAATTATCGAAAGAAGAGCCGTACGATCTTTTTTTTTGTTTGCTCTTTCGCCCCTCGAGGATACGTGAGAATACGAAGATTAGCTCTCTTTCTCTCTCTCTCTCTCTCTCACTCTCTCTTTCTCTCTCTCTCTCTCTCTCTCTCTCTCTCTCTCTCTCTCTCTCTATCTCTCTATCTCTCTCTCTATCTCTCTCTCTCTCTCTCTCCTTGCGTCTCCTCCTCTTTCGCGGACGATGGGCGCACGTTGACACTGCCTTGGAAACAATGCGCAATTACGATATATGTATAGATGAATACATGTGTCGTTGGTGCCAAAAACGACCGAGAGAGTACCGCTCGTCGGGACGTGATAACGCGATTTAGGTATTTACCAAGTTACGTCGAAGGAAACGCTTGAAATTCTCGATTTGTTTGCGGGGATGGCATCGTCGAACGACGACGTCATCCTTTCAATAGCACTCTCCGATTCAATTACCAGTAGAGTACAGGATGAAATTGATGGAATCGAGGATAGAAAAACTGGAAAAAGATACGAGAGGAAGGAGAGGAAGAAAAGAGGGAAAAGTAAAAAGCAGAAGATAATAACGAGGTGAGGATATAGAAGAAAAAATAAATTCTTTTCGCGCTATCGATGCAATTTCGACTTTATTCTAGTCTACTTTGCGAGAAGAAGAAGGATCCATTTTCACGATGGATACCAGGCTATTGCCCACGAGATACTGATCGAAGCGGAAACTTGTCATCCATTACCAAAAAAAATTCTAATCATTTTCGTCTAAGGATTGTCATGCACGTAGAGACACGAAAACGTACAAGAGTTCATTCGAGATCTTGGGATTAAAAGAAGAAGGAAAAGAGGAAGAAGAAAGGCCTAAAACGGGACAAAATTCTCTGGGTGTCCGCTGGAATCGATGCTTCAGAACCGATCGATCGCGATGCGCGCTCTTGTTCGCGGTCCGACGAAAGGAACGAGGATGCGAAGGGCCGAATAATTATATAAGAATACGCACGATTCAATCAAGATTTTATGCGACTTTATATACCTATAGTATACATACATGTGCGTACGCGTTTATACATATATCTCTGCAGGGTGTCTCATTTGAATTTATTCGCGCGAATATCATTGGAATTATTATCAAAAGATTCGATATACGTGACGGACGGAGTAAAATGAGACATTTTGTACATGTATATATATCGTGATTACGCGTGCAATCATGTTTCATCGTTCGCAAAACAATCCTTTTCTTAGAGACGATTTCTTTAAATCGGGCTGTTTACGAACCAGCGCACCAATCGTAACTTTTTAATTAGCTTCCTTTCGCGAAAAAAAACGTCCATTTTTTATGGAAAGGGAGTAATCGGCGAGTCTACTCTTGCGTGCTTTTTCTAACGATAATTTTTCTATCAAGCTTACCGAGAGAAGCTCCGTTATACGATTCGTCTACGTTACGACGCTTCGTATCATTCCGTTTTTATGACGAGAACAAAGTGAACGGCTAGATTTAATGGCATCGTTTCTAATGGAAAAAAAAAGACAGACGCTCTCTAGTCGTAACGTGCGCTTCCGCGCGCATAGATATATAGACGCATACACACGTACCTACATACTTCATACCTACCCATTTAGTCCTACCTAAGTAAATGCGTAAATCCATAGAAAGGAAGGAAGGAAGGAAGGAAACGTCGTCTGTCGTACGAAATCGATGAGAAATAAGAGAGAGAGAGAGAGAGAATGAAGAAGGCGCGTAGCCAAGCACACGCGCGCCTCTCACAGTCAGTCACAGTGTTTGACTACTGCCCTGTAGATAATATCGTAGATAGGTACAATGATTATACGATAAACGAGAAGAATGAATTATTATATAAACGTGTACGCACAAGTTCAAGGTACGCAGGGTGCGAATCAGGGGACGCATGCGAAAAATCTTTGTAATTATCGATATACAAAGATTTGTACATTCATAAGTATGTATGTATCTATTTGAAACGAAAAATAGTCCGATACGAATTTTCTCGTAAAAAAAAGGGAAAGTAAGAGAAGGTGAGAAGGCTCAAAGATATCCATCGTTTGTTCCCATCTTCCTTTCCTTGGTGCTCGTCTATGTGCTCCTCAAGGTGCTCCTCAAGGTGCTCGTTAAAAAAGGAAATTGAGATACGCGAAGATGCGCTTACGAGAAGAAGAAATAGATATATTTATGCTTGGTCGATATCGAAAGGGAAAAGATACGTATTTACTTTTCAAAAATCTTGCGTAATTTTTTTTTGTTTACGATGTATACCGTAGCAAACGAGTCTTTCCCGTTACAGGATCAGTTTTCCTCAACGCATGTAGTTGGTCGAACGTATCGCGTAATGAACGAACGAACGAACGAACGAACGAACGAACGAACGAACGAACGAACGAACGAACGAACGAACGGACGAACGAACGAACGAACGAACGAACGAGTGTTTCAAAGAGGGAAAGAGCAAAACATTTTTACCCCACCTTCGTCTTCTCGCTAATAAACGCACAAATTTTCTCAATCCTCGTTCCTTTGCTTCTTTTTTCTCTGCGCGGTCTTTTTGAGAGAGAGAGAGAGAGAGAGAGAGAGAGAGAGAGAGAGAGAGAGGGAGAGGGAGAGGGAGAGAAGAGCGTTTGCTCTCGATCGACTCACAGCCACTCCCTTCGATCCTCGGGTTCGCGTTCGTTCTTAATAAATATGCACATCGTGGTGTATCGAAAAATATCGCTAGTTACATTTTCTACGAGAGGTAGCTGCAAAGATCTGCGACGGTACCTAATCTTCTTCTCCTTCTTCCGTATATACTTCTCCATTTCCTTATTCCTCGATGTATATTCCAACGTTTCGACGCGAACCACTTCTGGGACCATTGTTCTACATAATACATAGAAACATACAAGGACGCGCGATATTATCGGAATTGAAAAATAAATCTAAGATGACGATGACGAAGAAAGTCGCGCGTTAATGGGTCGTCGTTACGTTAAGCAGCAATAACGTTCGCGAAGCAAATCAAAAGGTTTTGCAAGGCGAAAGGATATTTGAAAATTCCCCATTTCTTTTTTTTGTTCGTGCTAATCTGTCACATTGTCACATTATGTACGTTTGAAATAAAACTTTTCGAATATCGTGTTTTCAAGTGGCCAGATCCTACCAACTCATTCGCCTCTTCTTGCTTTCTTTCTTTCCCTCTGTCGTTCGTTTGCTCGTCGAATTTGCAGCTACCTGTCATAATTGTATGTATGTAGGTACATACGTTCACCGTACTTAACACTTAAATCGAATGGTCGAAGAAAAGAAAAGTAGCTCCGAAATCGCACGTCAACGTCCTTAGTCTCGTAATTTCATCGTATCGTCTTAAGGACTCTGACTATAAATCCTTCAAATTTACGCCTTTTCCACGATTATCGTATAATTAAGACTTTATATCGCACGATCATCATTCATCGTTCGATTTCGGACAACGTGTCGTAAGCAGACGAGTTTGCAAGCATCAAACTTTATATGCGTACCAATTCGTCGAGACATTAAAAAAACGTCCTTAAAACACGCGGTCACACAGATGGTAATTACACGCGCGCACAACACATACACACATATGCGCGCGCGTCACTGACTCGCGTATCATAAGGTTTCATCCGCACTTGTACAACATAGTATTCCTTGATATTGTATATACGCGTACACACACACACACACACACTCACTCACTCACACACAGAGCGTTCGATCGCGTCTATTACATCGAACACTCGGTATATCTCTTTAGTGTACAACTAACGTAACCCTGCGTCATTGGTGTTGGCGGTATACGGGTATACGTGGGACCGTTTGAAAAAAAAACAAAAACAAAACAAAAGTTAAACGAAAGAAAGCGGCCACGCAATTTTCAAAGTGAGAATAGAATAAAAATAAAAGCCAAAGAAAATATGAAATACTTAAAAGTGAAAAGATGCAAAAAATCGGCGTTGCTTTGCCGATTAGACATGTCGAGGGTTGGATTTACGTAATTGTTCCAAATAAACTGACAAGGAGAGAGTATTCCATTAGAGAGAGAGAGAGAGAGAGAGAGAGAGAGAGAGTGGGGAGAGCGGAGAGATGAGAAGGGAGGGGAATATTATCGATCGTGGAGCGAAACGCGTGAGATGATTCACAGTGTGAACGAGTCGGTCGGCCGTTCGAGGACGCGTTGCCTCGTGGTATTCCTTGTTGGGTATCTTTTCGTTTTTTATCCGTCTCGAACGTTCCACCATCGATTCTCAACCCTTCGCAGCTTGCTCTCTCTCTCTCTCTCTCTCTCTCTCTCTCTCTCTCTCTTTTTAATCATGAAAACGCTATCTGCTACTTATAAAATAATAGCATTTTTACATCAGTACCTGGTAGAAACATTGGGATTCGATGGAATCTCGTGTCGAAGGTACGCAGCAACTTGAAAAGAATAAAAATCCAACAACTCGATAGCGCATACACCTATGACAGTATGAAAACGAACAACGCATTTATATATAAAACATTGTAAAGGCACAAAAATTTTATCATTAAAGGCGCTTCGACTCGATTTCTTCGTCGATTTGTCTCTTTACTCACGATTTTTTTTTTAAACAGCAATTTCACCGCTTTCTTTCGAAAGAAATTATCTTACTAGGATAAAACGAAGAGGCACGCTAGGTGAAAGATGGCGCAACCTGTAAATTTCGGTGAAACGGTCGCAGGGTAAAGTATATATTTATGGTCGTTCGTATTTCTACCATCAGAGAGCATTCGATCAATTTCCAGCTCGAAAGTAAGTATTGCGAAGGCACCTTGATGACTTTTGCTTTCGCGATAATAAAATTAGAAGGATTTTTGGAAGCATCGTGCTTTTTTCAAATTCCAAAAGTTTCGTAAACGCGCGATTAATTCTGACATCGGAATGTCCTATTTTCCTTCCTAATTTTTCCACAAAAAACGTTATATATCTATCGATAAAATAATTTCGTGTTTCCGAAGTATACCTGTAATAATACACGTTGGGACTTTACAGATTATTTTACCGACCGAGTTGCCTAGTTCCTTCTATGAAATTCGAAGAAAACCAAGACAAGTCAATTTAAGCGAGAGCCTATAATCCCCGCGTAAATTCGCCATTTTTTCGAGAGAGAACAATGATCGTATAAACGTAAGTACGTCTCGTGAGAGAAACGGTCAATTCCTAAACATCTTATCGGAGATAAACAATTAAACGATTCTTTTATTTGGAATAATAATAAAGAAAATATGAAGGTACGGAAAAAAGAAATATTTTGAAAATGAATAATTTTGATAAAAGGCAGGACGAGCTATCGTAAGAGGTTAGTATCTTTATCGTTATTTCCATCGTCGATGGTTTTACGTCGCGGCCGCATCTCGTGCACGGTTTCTTCGTATACGCGAGACGACCGTAACCGTAACCCATAATCCGAGTATCCATTCCCAAGGAACCACAAACGCCACGTGAAATTCGATGCGATACATCGCTCGGAGGAGCGCTTTGTAGCGACTCCGACGAACTCGTCCTCTCTCTGACTCTGAGGAACAATAGTCCAATCCGAAAGTACGTCTTTACAAAAATATTCGTTTTTGTTCGTCGATTGGCTGTTTTGTTTTATTCCTCTCTCTCTCTCTCTCTCTCTCTCTCTCTCTCTCTCGCGCGCGCGCGCGCAATGTTATCATTTAGAGAGAGGGAAAGAGAATATTATCGCTCTCTTAGTTTATTCTCTAAACAAAGAAAAGAATCTTTCCCGACGAACGATATAACGATCCTCTTTGAATGACATTAATTATGTATACATACATAAAGGTACGCCTGTAGCGAGTACGTCGAGGTCATCGCGAAATTTGTTTATCGTCGATAGTAATCAAATACTTTCCTTGGAATCGGTAATGCGTCGCAAGGCAGACTCCCGAAGAAGACGCTCGTGGTATATGGTACGGAAAGAGGACCGGTAGGACGAGAAGAAGATTCGCGGTATTTGCAGTAATTCGGTGCTACGATATTGAGACTGTACGAAGTCTTCGCCGCAGGGTTCCTCCTCCTTTTCCTCGTCTCGGCTACCTGTCTACGAGTACCTAAGAGATTACTCGCGTGGCTATAAAGAGCCCTTCGTTATTGCTATTATTGCCGGCGCGGACGATAATCGCGATTAATATTATTTTCATGTTTACGAGCTGGACCGCGGGACGCCGAATTACGCGCGAACCTATACCACCCTTCATTCTTGGGTAGAAAAAGAACTTTTACCCTTCCTACTGAACGCGTACCTTTATACGAAATCAACGTATTTATTTTCTCATCCTGATGTTTTCTAGAAGCATCAGTCGTATCTCGTTATCACTCGTTCGGTTGCTTTGGACGAATCGAGTGACGTTAAAGACGATACATAATAAATATTATAATATCGATATTTTAATATCCTCGTAAAAGGGAATATTTGAACGATCGTATATCTTGGAGCCACGCTTCGTCAACGCTCGAGAAATGATCGAATGCCTTAAAAGTTTATTTATTTCTCTCTTAAAGCTTGCATCGGTGGTGGCACATTCGCCATGCTCTTGAATTACGACGACGCCTTTCGTACGTCCGGCGATCGGACGTTCCGTAATCTTTTCCCGCGCACCACTTTTCTTCGAAACGTAGGAAGACGATCTTTTAAATCTCTATCGCACACAGACAGCCCTGTTTCCCCTCTCCCTCTTTCCCCTTTTCCTTTTCTCTTCCTCGACTTGGTCCGGTCGATCGAGTATGCTAATGGGAATACTCCTTCGTAATCCCGGGGAACGTACTTGTCGCCTAGTGGCAAATAGATACGTATGTCGAATTACCTTATCGCGAAATGTCCCCCATCTTCCTTCTTACTCTTTTCTGACAACGTTTGATATGTCCGCCAAAGGAGAGCGTACTTTTTCTCTTTGCACGTTTATCGCGTCGAGGTTACGCGATTGAAAATTGCCATCTAATTAACGCACGGTGACTACTGCTTTTCGAATCGCTCGCTTTAGAAGCTCCGTCATTCATTACGCGGTCTTTTCTTGCCGCGTACGAGATTAATCGAGAAGAGAATATCTTTTCGGTAAAACGAGAGAGAGAGAGAGAGAGAGAGAGAGAGAGAGAGAGAGAGAGGAAAGGAGGAGGGAGGAATTAAAAAAAATCGACTATACTCTTGGAGGCGTTAAACGAAAGTTGTCGGTTGGTAGCGCGCGCGAGCGCGAGCTCGCACGGTTTCTCCGTGAACACGTAAAAACGTTCGATCGCAATTAAATCACCGGCAAGTCGAAGCAGGCCGCTAATTTTCTCGGATCGCCATTAATTCCGAGCGAGGTACGACGGCGCGCGCGTTTAAACGCGCCTACGGTTCAAATCGTCGTTGCGAATCTTAAAGCGTTAATTCTCCTGGTCGCAATTAAACTCAGGCGCTACATATGTAAACTGACCACGTATCGATCGATCGATAATCAACCCGGCGTAAATTTCCTTTTCTCCCTCTCTCTTCCTCCCCCCTCCCAATCTCTCTCTCTCTCTCTCTCTCTCTCTCTATCTTTCATACGTCCTCTTTCCTTGGCCGGTCGGCGCGAGGAGAGAAGAAAGAGTAA